ATAAATGCTTTCATATTTATGATGTCATAGGGTTAGATTGGGAAGAAAATGAAGGAAATGAGTTGTGGCGTTTTAAGAAAGAAACTTTGATATCATAATAGAAAGTATTTTATATATGAACCGATATCTCTCACTAAGCATATATAAATACAAGATTTCATCGATACCTGGACTTACATGTTATCCATACTAAATCAATATTGCTATTATCACGTAATAACAAAAGAACATATAAAAAATTCCATCTTAGACTACAAACTATTAACATAAACGCTATAGAAGCATATACTACATTACTACAACGGTGAAATAAATAATCATAAAATTCTTAATAATCATAGTCACCAACAAATATTTCTTTCATGTTATACGGGCCGCAATTTTCTTTCTTAATAGAGCGGTTCTACTTTTGGACATCAAAAAGAAAAAAAAACGCCGTCACATGTGTCGTGACCGTAAATCAATATCAAGGACGAGCAGTCATGTGGACCTATATACGGCCCCAATTCTACAAGTCGTGGTTGACGTTTGTAGACAAAAACCACAACCCACAAAAAGTTTAACATTATAATTAATGTGTTTGGAATCAAAGACAAATATAAGAAGCCATGGCAAATGCTTACATTGTCAACTTTTCGTTTAGCATTTCTTCCCATCACATTTTGTTTTTGTCGATTCAAATTATCCCTCACCACTTTAAATAGTTCACACGAATCACATATACGCATATACTTATCCTTCAAATTTATTTTGTTTAACATAGTATTAAACTATTAATACATGCATGCGTATGCATGCTTCTCTTTTGTGGTCATTTAAAAAGTTTACATGTTTAGTCCGATAGCAAACTCTTTCAGAAATAAAAAAAGCTATTTTGCAGTGTTGTCAATTTGTAAACAATCCAATATATATTGAACTTTATGTTTAAGACATATTCGGTAAACCAGTTGAACAAGCTAATTTCTGCTAGCTGAGAAATTAATAGTATTTGATAAGAAGTTAGCTAATAAACTAAATATTATATAAAACATTAAAATAAATAGCAAATATCAAACTAATTAATAACAAAACGTTTTCCCATAATCATATTAAATTGACGTTAATGCATTATATATAAGTCTTAGGTTATTTTGTTTTTACTAACTATAGTGTGTCAGAATGCACAGATCTTGACTAACGGATAAAATTAATCAATAGACATGATTTGAGAATGTATGATATTACAATGGGATAACATATACCATATAATCACACAAATTTTGACAAAATGGTATTTTGGACAATTAACTACATTTATAAAAGGAAATTTTCGGATTTTTAGGGATAATTAATTCTCCTAATTTTAAGAATCTGAATTTTTTTAATTAATTTAATTTTAATTCTAACGTAATCTTTAAATATTATTAAAAGAGAACCCTTAATTCACCAATGAAGCAATCAGGACTATTGATTGGATTTCAATCTTATATTTTCCACTATTCGATTAGATTGCTGACAACATCTTTTTTAAATAAAATTCAAACATATTACATTTAATTATAGAATTTTTAATAATTATAAAATCTTTAAATTCAATAATTATATTATCAGTTACAACATATTATTCTATTTATATACGAGATATTAGTTTCTCTAATTAATATTGTTCCTAATTTAACTTCCTTATTTATAGCTTGTGGCTTCAAAATTCAAACTCGTTTAGTTTTTATTTAATTATTTTTAAAAAAAAAAACGGATTAAATAAATATATCAATAATTTGGTCATTAACCTATAAAAACTAATCTAATCCTATTAAATTAGCAAAATATTTAAGAGTAAAAAATAAAGTCAATATTATTTATAATTTATCTCCCGGTATATCCCACGTAAAATAAATCAATTTGAGATAATGTTTTTGAATTTAAAACTCATTAATTAAGCAAAACATTTAATTTGAAATTTTGATTCAATATAAATGATATCATTTTTTTTCCAGATGAATAACCGAAAATCTCCAAAATAATATTTTAGGATCCTATTTTTTTGGAAGATAATGATTTCTTTATTGAAAAACAACATATATATATATATATATATATATATATATATATATATATATATATATATATATATATATATATATATATATATACGCTTACATTAAAGTTGTTATTTTTACGATTTTAGATTGAGTCGTATGATTTACAATGTTCTTCTTCAACGGTCTTATTCTATAATTCTTTTTTCTAGGTTCTTTTTTTACCCTGTTCTCTTTCTTCTTCTACAATTTATTGTATTTACTTTGTTCTTATTACTTGTTATTACTGTATTTCTGTTGAGAGGTTATGAAAAAAATTAATCAATCTACTTTAAGTATATTAGTTTCATTCATTTAGTTATAGAAACAAAATTATATCCTTTATCTTCATTTTTTTAATATGTTGACCTATGTTTGTCCAAAGAAAATCATAAAAGTTGTTGTAATGTATGATGACAAAACTCGTGGAACGGACCAAAAGCAAGATGATGAAGTTTTTTATTGTTACACTTCAACTTACATGAACAAATACATATATCTTGTTCTAAGTTTTTCAAAAATTCTTTTATACATATTATTATACTCTTTAGTTAAATTGTTTAATTTTATATTACTATATTTGTTTATATCAATGGCTTTAGTTTCAAAATCAATATTCAAGTACATGACTTTACCGGTGTGGTGTTACTTACGTTATTTGATCGTGACACGAAGAAACTTCTGGAAAAAACCGCACAAGACTTGCTTCAAAAGTTTAATGAGGTTATCGATATTAACTTCATTTATATAAAACTAATTTTTTACCTTTTGTCTATCTATTTTTATAACCAATTTTTTTTAAAAAAAATTTAGTAGGGGAATATGAAGATTTATCCATTCGCTTTTCATGTACTTTTCGATAATTTCAAATTCAAATTTCACATTATAGTTTGATTAACAAAGTTGATGGTTATGCAATCTCAAACTTCACTGTTGATAATACAATCATTGTTGAATTAGAAAAAAAATTAACATCGAACAGAAAACATTCTTTTACAAAGAATACTACAAACATATCTAAATATTATTAAAAGAGACACCTTAATTCAACAATGAAGCAATCAGGACTATTTATTGCATTTCAATCATATGTTTTCTACCATTATATTATATTGTTGACATCATCTTTTTCAAATAAAATTCAAACACAATTACATTTAATTATAGAATTTTTAAATTCATTAATTACATTATCAATTACAGCATATCATTCTATTTATATATGAGATATTGGTTTCTCTAATTAATATTGTTCCTGATTTAACTCCATTCTTTATAGCTTTTGGCTTCAAAATTCAAATTCGTTTAGTTTTTATTTAATTATGTTTTTTAACTCATTAAATAAGCATATCAACAATTTGGTTATTACCCTATAAAATTTAATCTAATCCTATTAAATTAGCAAAATATTTAAGAGTCAAAAATAAAGTCAATATTATTTATAATTTATCTTCTGATATATCCCACGTAAAATAAATCAATTTGAGATAATGGTTTGAATTTAAAACTCATAAATTAAGCAATTCAATTAATTTGAAATTTTGATTCAATATAAATGATATTATTTTTTCCAGATGAATAACCGAAAATCTTCAAGATGATATTTTAGGATCTCATTTTTTTTGGAAGATAATGATTTCCTTATTGAAAAACAACTTATATATACGATTATATTGAAGTTGTTCTTCTTACGATTTTGGATTGAATTGTATGATTTACAGTGTTCTTCTTCAACGGTCTTATTCTATAATTTTTTTCTAGGTTCTTTCTTTGCTCTGTTCTCCTTCTTCTTCTACAATTTTTTGTATATTAATTTGTTCTTATTCCTGTTCTCCTTCTTCCTCCACCTATTAATGTAATATGTATTTAATTTATGTTCCCCGCGTTTAACGCGGGTTATAATCTAGTTTGTATACATAACCGATTTTATTCTTTCAAGATATTTTTTTTGTTAGAATAATGTTCTTTCAGAATTTTATGCTATTAGAATATTATTGAAGAATAACAACATTCTTGAATCCGATGTTGAAAAATAACAACATTCTAATATATTCTTATACATCTGAACTTAAATACAAATTTATACATATTCTTACAGATTAAAAGTCTTATACATTTTGATATAATTATACATATTCTAAAAGAATATCAACAAAAAATGAGTAAAATTCTTAAAAAATAACAACATTCTAAAATAGTGAGTATGATCAAACTTTATTCATTCTTCAAGTTATTCATATTAGGTCTTCATAGCATTCTTCCAGTCATTCCTATCACAAAATACAACAAAAACTAATAATGATTAAAAACATGTTACTTGCAATTAACTATCACCTTATATATTCTAGTAGAATACATAGAATATGATAGAATAGACATTCAAAAAGAAATATCTATTACAAAAAATAATAATAGACAATCCAAGAGAAAATCTATTACAAAAATAATAATAATAAATAAATAACAGGTAAACAAAGATTCTAAAAAAATCATTAAATATAAAGTGTAGTTATCATTTAATTTTGATAGAATATATATGCACTTACCATTCATAGCATCATATAATTACTCATTACTATTGTGTAACCAAAATATATTATAAAATTTTTAACAAACATTCTTAAAGAATCATTAAACCTAAAGTGTAATTATCATTTTAAATTCTAACTGAGTGCATTCTAACATAATATACTATACAAAGCATAATGTATTCTTACAGAATCTACTATGTTGTGTATTTGATAGTTCCTAAAAAATCATTATTCTGTTAGAATACATTGTATAATAACTTGCAGTAACTCAACTCAGCTATATATCACTTTTCATTTCATCAATAAGCTAATTAAGCAAGCAATGTTCAAGGAAAATCAGAATCCCAAATGAAAAACAAAATCTCAAGTATATTTCAATCAATTTAGGAATTAAGGTTTGATTCTGACCTGATTACTTGCAATAACCTCCAACACAGGCATTGTAGTCTTCTTTAGCTGCAGTTGTCAAATAAACCATAGTGAAATCAGCAACATCAAACGACTTCTCCTTCATCTCTTTAACGATGTCATCTTTCTTCACCACGGTGCAGCGGATGGGCGGGTGGTTACATCGTTGATTGTGAGAGGAGTATTTGATGTCGAACACGGTTTCTAGATTGGAGGTCGGGACGATGGCCTTAGCTGGTTCAGTGGCCAGAAAAAACCTTCAGAGGTTAACATTCTTTATAATCAATTAATCCAATGCATTTAGAATGGAAGAAGAACTAACCTTCATAGATGAAAAGGATATATGTTGGAGGGTTACTGGAGTAGCAGACAATGTCAGAGGATATCCGGAGGAGCAGAATGCGTAGCATCGACTGGAAGGCGGCGAAGAAGAGGCAGAGAAGGTTGGTAACGATGGTGGATGGTGTCAACATTTGTGATGAACTGGTTATGGGTTTCGGCAAAAGGGGTCGATAATATATAGGGTTTTAAAACTGATTTTACTAAATTAAAGGGATATTAAATTGTTTAAATATTTGTGATGAACTGGTTATGGGTTTCAGCAAAGTAGCATTTTGTTAAACGCTACATGAAGTAGCATTTGGATTTTGAGCGTTTTGTTTAAACTAAACGCTAGAACCTTGTAGCGTCGAACGAGGCATTCTGTTAAAAAAAGAACGTTTTGTCCAACGCTAGAAGCTAGAAGCTCTCAAACACTTCCAAACGTTTTGTGTCGAACACAGACATGTAATATTACCAAAAGGTTTTTAGCTCGACCGTATCAAGTGTTACCTTCCCTTTTCGAAGTTGAGAGTTCAAGTCCTGTCTGAAACATAAATGGATTCAGTAGTAATTTAAGAATAGATTAAATTAGATTTATCGTTTATAAAAAATCTAGTATTATTTTTGGATTTAAATTAAAGACAAATCTTCATAAATCTTTATGAATGGACTCTAACTTTTTTTTCGGTTTCATGGAAGGTGCATGTGGTTTCATAAATCTTCATGAATGAACCCTAAAATCCGACTTCATATTAATAAGTTATGTTTCTTTGAACTTTCGCGATTAAACCAGCACGACTCTGTGTATTATAAAAAGAAATTTTTTAATAAATTACTTTTTAGCCTATGAGGTGTAAACGAAAGTCGTAGTAGTCACTAAACCGAGAGTGTACATATAATGAACGTCCAAATCTAACTTCATAAAAGGAAGTTATGTTTTTTCTAAGATTCAGTTTAGTAGTATACAACTCAAAAATCGAATTTTAGATCACTGTATATTTAACCGAAACAATCTAAATGAGAATCAAAGATCTCGTTAATAAGAGTCTGTCGATATAAAGACAGTCAAGAACGGATGTCGGACGAGAGAGTTATGATTTTTTAATAGACTTTAACAGTCTAAGTCTGTTAAAAATATAACTTAAAAAATAAAGTCAAAATTAGCCGACAGAGTCTAAACCAAAGTTGTAGATCTCGTCGATAGCTAGGGGTGGATATAAAGAACGTCAAAAACGGAGTTCGTATGTGAAAGTTATGAATTTTTGAAGATTTAAAATCTACATACGTATTTGCTTGTTGCGCACGCCACTACATTGGGCGTAACCCTAAATTACGTTGGGCGTACTCACTACGACAGGCGTAACCTGAAATTTCGTTGGGCAACCTCCTTCTTGGAAGCCTATACATAAGTTGCGAAAATCATTCATTTTCTCACATCTTGCAAATCCATTTGCTCCAAGGCTTCTTTCTTCTTGAGTACAAATCATTCTAGTCCTTAGGGGTGTTTTAGCAGGGATCTAGGCATCAAAGAGCCCGACAAAAAGAAGCTCTCTAATCGGAATTCTTCCAGTATAATTTCCGACCTTTCGCTAGAAATCCTTGTAAGTTAAACTACACTCTATTTCTTTCGGTATAACTTGTATTTATAGTCATAAGTCGTTGCTATGAACCTATAAATAATATTTATCAGTAATTTCAATTATCGATTGATCTACTTACGGGAAATGTGTCCAGAATGGTCATGTTGGTTTGGTTGTTAGATTTCAGAAATCTTATATGTTGAAATGGTCATGTCTCCCAACTGTTCTACCTGGTTGATCCTTACTTAATAGATCTTGATATAAACATTGAAATTAATAAGGAATATAGATTATAATTATTATATTCACCAAGATAATAGACAATTATCATATTTTAATAAAATTAATACTAATCTTTTAAAACACCTATAATTATTTTATAATAATAATAATAATAATAATAATAATAATAATAATAATAGTAAGTAGTAAAATATTTAGTTTCTCGATTGATATGACCAAATATATTATGTTCAACTAGGCTCCCTTCAACGGATCATTTTCGGAAGGTGGTATATAAAGTCTAATTATTTTATTTGTATTAAAAATTTTGATTTTTTTTTCCTTTTTTCTCTCATCGGAGTCATTGGCTTTTTCAGAAACGGCACCCTTTTCTGATACTTTATCCAATCCAATTTTTGTTTTTGCAATTCATTTTTTGTTTCCGTACTTTCCTTTACCTTCTTGTGAAATTTACGAGGAAATGCAATTTTTCCTACACCAAAATTTTGTTCTTTGAATTTCGAATTTCAATCACCGGATGGTATATTGTTTTTTTTTTTTTTTCAATTTACAAGAAAACAGCATGTATGGTTGTTTGTTTGCTAAGATTCGAATTATTACATTATTATTTTATTGGATAAATTATTATTTATCAACTAAAAAAAGTAAATAAATTTGCTATTTATTATTTATTAAATGAAACCAAATTCAATTAAAAATATTTAATAAAGTCGAATAGTTAATTAATATGATTAATTAAATGTGTTGGATTTACTTAACTAGTTTATTTTGAAAATTTTTTGGAAGGTCCAATTAACTTACTTTAAAAACTTTTGGAAATTTATGGTGTGGAAGGGTTTGTCATTGATAAACTTTAAAAACTTTTGGAAAATTTATCCATGTATTAGACTAAACGGTGTGGAAGGATTTGTCATTGATAAAAATCTATTGGCATTGCAATTTTTTTTCTTTTTTTGTTAATGATAAATCTCATAGGTAAAGTTCCACTTACGATAAATTTTAATAGTAAAGCTTTTTATTTTTTATTTCCTGATTGTCATTGCAATTTTTTTTCTTTTTTCCTTTAAATATAAATACCATTGTATATACCACTGATAAAAAAAAAAAAAAAAAAAAAAAAAAAAAAAAAAATTCCATTCATTAGTAAAATACACCAAAAGTTACAAAAACTTATGTGGCACCTTTTTACCATTGATAAAAATATCACCACACACTTTAGAGTGCTCAGTGTCCGCAACGCCCACTCTCGTTATAATAACATGGACGCCATAAAACGCTGGTATAACGTCGGGAACACTACCTCCGACTCCCGTTAAGATATAAGGCGTTACCACGCCATGGTAACGACAACGAAGGGCAACACCGGTTTTTCTTTCTTAGCCTCACACCTGCATTGAAGGTTTGGAAGACTACCCAAAAAATTGTGATGGAAAGAAGAAGAGATAAGATAATGATGTGACCAATACCCAATAGTTTTAGCCTTAGACTAAACAATGTGAGAGCTACAAAAGTGCTAGCGGGCAGCGGCAAACACCGGGCCATTGTGGCTGTATTTTTGGGGCGGGAATTCTCATCGGCAAATGTTTGCAATCCCCTTCCTTCCCAAGCCACTCTCTTCTCCCCATCGTTTTCGGAAAATAAGTCACCCAAGAGTTAAAACAACTTAAATATATTATGGAAACCGATTGTGAATTTTTCGGTTACAATTAAACCTAAGCAAGAAATTCACATATTTTTTTTTTGAACCAGCGAACTAACCTAATCCTAAAATCACTCATGTCTCCTAACGAGACTTGAACTCATCTCATTTGAGAGTGCCTCTCCGGCTCTCCTTACTGCTAGGCCAAATGCCCTTTGCTAATTCACATATTTTATTTTGGTAAAATCAAGTCCAAGATTTTTCTAGTCTAATTCCTGTTTTTTTCTTATTTTTTATATTTTGTTTTTTTGTTGGCCTCTTGATTTCGTATTTTCTCAAGGATGGACATGTTTTAATTCGATCTAGTTCAAAACAAGAACCACCCCAGATTTCTTTTATTATTCAATTTTATTACAAAGTTAGTATCAATATTGACTTTTTTTATAAAAAAAAAAAAAAAAACAGGTAACAATGGAGTTATGGAGGTCGAACTTCTTTGATTGACCAAACCAAAGACAATTTGAAAACCAGGCATCCAATAAATATTTTAACTTTTAAGACATGCATTTTATATATAAGATCATTTCTCAAACCATAATTTGGACGACCGGTAGTTACAGTTTTTTAGTAACACTTTACACGTCTAGAACCAACCATAAAATCTCAGACGGTAATTTTCTACCATCTTCGCATCTTCTTTCTCTTCATTTATAGCCTGAAAATTTACCAATTTTTTGTATCTTTCATTTTCTGATTTGTGAATTGCAAACTAAATTAATTAAAAAACACACACGAGATCGACGTATTCTAACCAATAGTTTTCTTGCAGTGAAGAACCGCTTCGTAAATCGAACTCTCGGAATCGCATGATCTTCTCCAATTGTCTGCTTCACTTGTGCCTTCAAATGCCAAGATTTTAGCGGAATCGGAATCGCATGATCTTAGCCAATCATTAGAAGAATACGTTTCGGTTTCCCTGGGAGACGACATGCCAATTCCGGTGCTTGGTCCGGCACCGGAACCGGAACCTGAACCGGAATCGGAATCGGACCTTCCCCTTCTCATTCTGAGCCAAAGCAGCCTTACCAAATTCAAGTACTTCCGGACGACACTTTTCGGCAGTCTCCGGTACCTTCTAGAGAGCAAAGACCGACTTCTGCCATGGGTGGCGGCGGAAGACACGGGTGAAACCGGAGTCGAGCTGGAAACGGAATCATAGATTCCCATTCCGATATCCAACGGCTTTAAAAAAAGTGGAACGAGGATTCCATTAGAGATGAGCTCATCGGCATGAACACAATTAGGTTGCAATGTCGGGAGATCAAAGTCGAAATCTTGATGAAAAACAAGAAATCGTTTAGAAGCGGAAAGCTTCGGGTCCATTTCAATGAAGTTGGAATCATCATCAAAGGAGGCTCTAAAAGAAGTCTCAAAAGATGGCTTTAAGTTGACTAACCAACTGTACGAAAAGCTCTCAATCGATAGTGATTCTGAAGCTTCCATGGAAGGATATGATGAAATTATGAATGATGAATAATGATTCAGGATATGTTTATCAAATTCCTTGTGGTGTATAGACATAGGTATGTATATATAGAGAGAAACAAAAACATACATGTGCATGTAAAGACATCATTATTGTGGTCCTTCACACTATAGATAACATATAGTATATATAATTATCGAAATGTGAACCCCACATGATGTCACTGATATTGCATTTGCATGGTATATTATATTTAATTTTATAATAAATAAGAAAAGTGGTATTATTAAACAGTAAGATTGAATTGATGAAAACCAGTTTATTGGGCCCGAGGGGGTGGTTGCCCCTATAATAATTGTATTAACAGGTCTCCTAATAAAAAACAAATATCACAAGTAAAAGGGTCTTAAGGGGACAACTAAACAAATATCGCGTCAAACAGTCATACTTGTCACATGAACTTGTTTAATACAAAGAAACATGCATGCTCGCATTAAAATAAAATGGTCTGCAAGCAAACCTGAAAATCTTCAATTAAATATTAAAGTAATTGTAATATATAATTATGTATATATATAAAGGTTTGTTGAAATTTTAAAGAAGTAAATATGGTTATATATTCTCTTGGACTAGAAATTTCAGGGATTTACATCCACCAACAGTGTGAGTGGTTACAACTTTAGAATGGAAGAAGATTGTAATGTTGTTGTTTTTGTTGATGTTTGTAATTACGAATTAATATTTCCCAAAAGAAAACAAAAAGAGTAGACATTGGTCCCCGAAGGTTGTCGGGTAAAGAAATGGACATGAGACAATGTAACCATAACCAGAAAGAAACTTTGAAACCGACCGATGGTCCCCTTTTGATATCATTTCTTTCCGGACAAAAAAGGACTTGTAAGGATACGCAGACATTCAATACCTAATATCTAATATCCTGTGCTATGGGTCTAGTAAGAGACTAGAAGCTAAGTATGTCAGTCTGATTCAAACTGTTTGATATCATACTTAAAAGTAAGTCAGTCAGATTCAAACTGTTTGATATCATATTTAAAAGCCCTTGACTTGGTTCATGTTCCTTTGAAATGCATCTTATCGGGACAGATTCAAGGTTGAGTCTTAGGGGTTATTTGTTGGGCCCCTTAATGATCTCATAAAGAGGTTGGCTCTAGATTGTTCAGACTCATAACGTTTGGTTGGACCTTTTTCAGCCTCTTAATCGGCCAGACATAAGTGAAAGTGGTCTTGATCCGTCAAATGTGTTGACAAGTCTGTCCATCTGATAACCTTAACCCTAAAGAAAAGAAATGTTTGCCTCTTTTTTTCTTTCCCCCTCTTCTCCCATCAACATCGTTCTTTGTTTCTCAGTGATTCTCACATTACCATCAGACTTTCAGTAGTGCCAATCCAGCTCCACCTCCCTCTTCATTGGTAAGTTCCCCCCCCCTCCCCCTTCTGTCTCGCTCGCTGTGGTTGATCGATTTTTGTGAAATCGGTTTTTTCAAGCCCTAAGTATGTGAAATATATTTTTAAGCATGTTTTTGGTCGGCTTGAAACTTGTGTTTGATCTGGTTCTTGTTGAGTTTTCTTCTTTGCTAAAACTTGAAGCTTGTGTTTGATTTGTTGTTGAGTTATCTTCTTTTTGTGTGAACTTTGAAATTTGTTATGTTCTTGATTTTTGCTACTATGTTATTGTTGGGTTTTGTTGCTATGAATAAAAAGTTCAAAATTGTTGAAACTTGTCCAAAATTGCTAGTTGAAACCTATTCTTGCTTGATTTTAAATGCCAGACATGGCACAAATGGCACAAAAATGTTTAAAATTAATTGGAAACACAGAATGTGTGGAAAAGACATTGCGTGAAGCTTGTATTCAAGAAATTACAATTTACAGATGCGAAGAGAATAGTTTGAAGCGAACTCATGAAAGAATAAGAAAGGTTGAAAACATAATGCTATTTAGATGTTGTATACAAATGCTAGTCAATTATTTTAAAATTGTATGTTAAGAATTACGTTAGATGTTTAAAATTGTATGTTAAGAATTACGTTTAATTTAGATGTTGAATGAACTTTAATTTGGATTCTATTTAACTTGGAGTTTGTATGAATTTTAATTTAGATTCTATTTAATTTGGATTTTGAATGGCATTTTGTATTTTTATTTATAACTGTTACAAATTTGGTATCGTTTAGCACAGTCGTTTACCTCTTCAATCAAAAAGCAACAAATAATTTAAAGGGTTAAAATAGTCATTTTCATCATTAAGAAACAAACATTCATATGTGTGTTTGTCCAAACATCAATTTATCATTAAAATACAAATTCATATAGAATCTTTACATCATCATACAGGTCTCTATATCATCCAGATATAAATACTCTAGATACTACCAAAAAACCCCTTACTCTTGACTCAATCAGATGTGACCCAACAATTATCAAACAACCCTTTATAAAATCATCCTACATGGCTCTTTCTTATCCTACTCGTTAATGTCATGAGTAAAATGGCTGAATACATAATGATATATATGTCTGGACAAGGTCTCACCATTTTATCCTTACATTCCAAAAAAATCACACAATATTTATCAATATTAATTGGCTAAACCCATTAAGTTATTCGGTCCACATTAAATAAAAAAGAAACAACCATGTACATAGATATCGAGATTAAGTGTTTAAGTCATTAAGCTATGTGAAAGACTGGATTAATAATAATAATAACAAAAGGGGGTATGCTTATACAAATGGTGAAAATGAATAATAGCAATAGCAAGAGCATAAGCACCTATCTCATAAGATCTACAAATACAAAGGCATTCCAAAGGCTATGTAACAACATAGAGGGTAACAAGTTTCTAGAACGAGTATAAACAGTACCCATAACAACCCCTAAAAACACAAGTGGGAGTATTCTCTGAATATTGAAATGAGCCAAAGCAAAAGCTAATGAACTCACTAAAATTGCACACCAAACAGGCATGTACTTTGTTAATGAAGGTAAAAGAAACCCTCGAAACACAATCTCTTCCCATATTGGGGCACAAACCGAAACTACTATGGCATAAAGCGCCATAGCCATCGGATCACGAGCCACTATTGATTGTTCGACGTTTGAGATCGCGACAGGTGTCGGGGGAGCTAAAGGGAGTAGATTGAGGTTGACTTGTGACAGACGGTTGACCAATGGGAACATGAGGCAGCCTAGACCTACATCGAATTGCCATTTTCCTTTCAGGGTAAATCTGAACCAATCGGGTGAAAGAGGGTGGAATTTAGAGAGACAAAGTTTGAGGATTGCAATTCCGGAAATGCCCTCCACTATGTCTGTTAAAAGACTGTATAAGGCTTGGCCTCTGTATGTTAGAGACTCTTTTCTGAAACCTGCTGTGTGGGCTATAAATGGTATTATCCATGATCCTACTAACCAAAATGAAGCAATCCAGAGGAGCATCACCTGCATTCTCAAATTTAATAATTAATTTAACAAAAACAAACTCTTCGTTTTGCAATCTTAAAATGGGTTTTCATATAATTTATTTGTATGGAATATTATGCTAGGGGTATAATGGTATGAGGTTAACATAGTGCTAAATGTAAAGAAAGAGCTGCACCTGTAAAATGGTCTTAGCTGTCCATGGCACTGTCCATGGTTCTGCAGTAAATACAGCATCTGAAGCCTGAAAATAACATTCAGACACATCAAGAAATACTATTTCTCTCTACACTTTCACGTAATAAAGTGCATATAATAAATCATAATACGGAAAAAATAATAATAATAATAATAATAATGATAACTACCTTTTTGAAGTTTAGCACCCAATCATGATTCACATTTGGTTGTTTTGTTTCTGGTTCTACCGTTTCTCCTGGAATCATATCTTCTGAAGTCTCAGAGGCAGAATATTCTGAAGATGATTCGTCATTCTTAAAGCATGAAAATCTCCAATTCTACAAATCAACATCAAATTCAATCATATTAGATGAGCATCAAGCATTGTGTTATGTTGTTTATTTAAAAAGGACAGAAAAAGGTAAGCATGATGAATCAGATTTAAATCATATCAACAGATTCATATTTCATTGTATATGATTTAAATCATATCAACAGATTCATATTTACAGGGAGCTCACTACTAAAACCTGGCATTCACATATCAAATCGACAAAATTCCATATGATCTATGTTAAATGGAAGATAAAAGAATCACATGCTTAATCTGTTAGAACAGCCCCAAACAACATAACTTCATAACTAACTACAAAATTGATTCAATTAGCAATGGTGCAAATGTTACAAAGGTTGCATTCAGAAAAGTTCTAATGCCTTATATAATCATTCAAGAACAAGTATACTACTAAACACAAATTACATTCAATTAATAAACAGAAAATGCAAGTTTGAACTTACGTTTCTCGATGTATTTGAAGATGATAATTTTAACAAGCGAGCAGTCCGGTTGAATGAGATATAGGGTTTAGAGAGTTTATTTTTAGCTCCAGCCGTAGAAGGAAGAGGTGAGCCAATAGAAAGCGCGTGACAACAAGGTAATGCAGTAACGGACATAATGAAGCGCGTGAAGACGTTGTTCCTCCGGACTGATTGAAATCCGGGTGATTAGATGGTTGCTGCTGCATTAGAGAGGCGCAAAAACCTAATTAGGTCGTTCGCACATACTGAAGAGAGAGAGAAAGAGGAAGACGATAGATACAAGGATGAATTTTGATGTGATTTCCAGAGTAGCGGAGGAGGAGGGAGCCAACGGCGGATTAAGAAGTCGGAGGAGGAAGCTCCGACGAAGGTCGCAAGTAGGAACCAAGAAAGTGGGGAAGGAAAAGGGAAATTTGTGTTATGACGTCGTATGTATAGAGTGAGCCGTGCCACGACAGCTTCGAATCTTTGGGATATTGAGCGAATTACATGTATAGTCCCTTAACTATTCAGCAATGTAAATTTTTTTTTAGACAAAACTGCAAAAATTGTCTTGCTTGTATGCATATTTTTTTTTTGAGGTTTCGTCCAAACCTCTACTTTTTTGGTTTTATGGTCGTTTTGATCATGTTTGTAAGTGAATTTGATCCCTCCCCAATTGAAATTACTAAATTACCCTTGTTATATTATTTTATTTTTCTTTTTTTTCTATATGTACTTTATATATTAAATAAAGATAAGGACTCTCTCTCTATCTATCTCTATCTCTATCTCTCCCTCTCTCTCTTCTCGGACACAAACAAACACACATTAACTTTGAAATACATATCCTAAATCTGTAATACCTTCAGGTCCTACAATTAAACCCAAAATCGATTTCAGATTTACCCCAAAATCGATTTCAGTGAGCATATGAGGATGAACACACAACACACATACACACCAAATCCTACCATTAAATCACTCCCTGCTTCTTCCCACTTGTGATTTTGGCTCTTTTGATTGAGGAAAGCAGAGTAAAGGATGAAGTTGCGATGGAGCCACTACCATTATTGAGGCGTCATTATAGATTCGATTAAGTAAGGGATTCAATTTGGGGATTTGATTTTTGGGAGAATGAAATAAGCTCAATATCTCCCTCGTCTTTAAAATCGTTTGTGAACAACGCTAAAGCACTCAATCACTTAACCCAACTCGGTCGTTTGTGAAAAACGCTAAGCACTCAATCGTTTATGAAATCGTTTGTGGAAAACGCTAAAGCAATCAATCTTGTCGGTGCGACATCCCCAAATACACGGTCATTTTAAAAAGTTTTATTTATGCTTATTTAAAAATCAGAGTATCCATTTTAAAGAATAATATAACGGAATTTGTTCCCAGAAAACATGACAAAGATATTATCAAAGCATTTCCGAAGAAATGTATTTTTGTTTATATTAAAACATTAGGATGTCATCGTCAATACAGAAACATAAGCATAAACAAACCTTACATTCATTTACACTAATGATTTACATCTCCTTTAATCTCTCAGTGTAATATATCTTCGTATCGACAAATGTGATACAAATAAACCGAGTGGGTCAAGTTGGGAAACATGGTGAGTACATAGGGTTTTCAATCCATAATAATATAATTATTATGTTTAATCATCAAACAATTAACCCAATTGCTCATCCCTATTATCTTCTTTATTCTTAAGGATCTACCTTAAGAATCATTTATCCTTCATTCAATCATTCATAAGGATTGTTCTAGGGAATAGGCATGAAGTTCATCGCTGCCTAGGTTTATCTAACAGATACTAAGTCCATAGTTGTCGATGTTATCTATTAGACACTAAGTCCATATCTACTGATATTTATCTAATGGGCATTAAATCCATATCTGCCAATGTCCATTCATAAGACACTAAGTCCATAGCTGTCAGGGTTTTTAGAGTACATCTGGTGAACACATAGTTCAAAAACACCTACATGTTGCGAGGATGTTAGCGTTCTACTGGACTATCTAGAACAGTCTGTGGTCATCATCTATACTCTGCTAGATGATTGGATCAACTTCAAGTTAAGGCTTCTAATTATCTTACACCTCTCAACATCTATATCATCTTTCATCTTTCATCTTTTACATCATATTTCATCTACTCATCTTTACCCAATATTTAAAGGTGTGTGTATATATATATATATATATACAGTTTAAATCAAGTAAAACGTGTATAAATCGTTCATCTGACATAGATATCAAGAACACAGATAATTGATACATATAGCACGTAATTTATATTAAATATGTCATATCTATGTGTAAGATGAAAGTAAATATGCAATCACTTGTTAAAGTGATAACTCCAAACTCGGGCAGCGCTTTGCTTCTAATAATTTTATTTTCCTTTGACGAAACCTGGTATAATTATCACTAGATTTTAGTCTAATAGTTATTACGAATCTAGATTTATCATTAACTTAAGGTTTACGAGCGATATTGTTATATAAGTTGTAACAGCCCGGAATTTCAGGTATTTCTTTAAATTATTTTTGGGGCACATTTAGGAGGGGACTCGGCGAGTTGGTGCATGACTCGCCGAGTAGGGCCATGGTCTTGGTCGCAGTCGCAGATACGCGACTGGACTCGACGAGTCCAAATAGGGACTCGGCGAGTCGACGCTGATTCAGCTGAACCCTAGCCGTTTCAATTCTGAATCGTATAAAATGATCTTATGGCCGTCATGTCGCGTCTTTTGGCCGATCGAAGGGTTTATAGCTTGCATACTACGAGGTGAGTCTTCTCACTATACTTCACCCGGAAGGGTTTGACTGTGAGACCGGAAGGTCGTATGTGTTATATTTATGCTATGTCTAGAGAGGTAGATGCTTTATATGTGATGTATGCTTATATGTGATGTATGCTTATACGGGCCGGAAGGCGAGACTTTATGTGATAGAAAGGACGGTATGATGTATGACTTATGTGTTATGTGTGTTATGTTACATGTGTTATGTTTTATACTATTATGGGCCGGAAGGCAAAATACTATGGGCCGGAAGGCAATTTAATACTGGCCGGAAGGCAATATGTTATGGGCCGGAAGGCGATTATGTTACGGGCCGGAAGGCAATGTTATGTGGACCGAAAGGTCCGGGCCGGAAGGCGTATGTGGGTAAGTCGTATACTGGGGAACTCACTAAGCATTTATGCTTACTAGTTGTGTTTATGTTTTTCAGGTACTAGTGATGACCGTGGGAAGGCGCCGGCGTGACACGTACACACTGCCACTGTTGAAGATCCTGGAGATTTATTATTTATACTTTTGAAATAAACTTGGAATAAACCCTTTTGTCGAATAATGATGTTTTGTTTTAAATGAAAATTTTATTTGAAAATTTGAGCTGTTACAATTGGTATCAGAGCCTTGGTTTGAGGGATTCGGGTGTACTTTTGGGTGCAACTGAACTCAGACCGGGGATTTGAGGAAAAACCTTTTTAAATAATAAGGACACAACATTTTATAAATGGTAAGGCGGTAAAACAAGGATGGAACAGTGTGTACGAGCAGCCAGCGTCCGAACGGTAAAGATCCCCAGAATACCTTACGATGTTATGTTATGCACTGAATTATGAATTGTTATGCATGCTAGAAGACTAGGTATACATGATAGGACTAGAATTGCCTGTTTTGTGATGCCTTAGTCTAGGGAGATTGCTTATATGAGATATTTGGTAGCGTGCAAGTAGATAGTGCATACTAGAGGTAGAGTACTCATTATTCGGGATTTGGGGAGGAAGATTTGGGACGAATACTGATACGGTGTGGTCGGTAGTATTGGGCCCGTACTACCGAAGGCACCGGATCAGTGGAAGACTCAAGTAAGAATCCCTGGAATCGGAGACTGGGTAGGGCGCGTATCGAGTACAATTGTACTTGGTGGAGTCTCTGATGATTTTATGTTGTATTTCAGAGACATCATGGTTATCACACGCAATGGGGCGAGTTCGAGCGGTGCGAGTGACGAGGAGATTCGTCAGATTATTCAGGAAGAGGTAGCTGCGGCGGTCCGGGCTGAGATCCCGGAGATGTTTGGGTCTATTAAGACCACGCTGATGGAGGAGTTTGAGGAGCGGTACGCCGCACTTACTGAAGCTGCAGTTGCTGCCGCTACCGCAGCTGTGGCTGCTGCCAGGCCGCAAGGGGGTGATTCATTACTATTCAGGGAATTCAGCAACACGAAACCCCCTGAATTTGATGGGACGCAGGATCCGATTGCAGCTATGAGGTGGATCGCCGACATCGAGGGGTGCTTCTATACTTGCTCATGCCCGGAGCACTTGAGGGTACGGTTCGCCTTGAACCAGCTCCGTCTGGGAGCGAAGGATTGGTGGAAGTTCGTGACGGCGAACTTCACTCAGGCAGAGATTTCGGCGGTGACATGGGAGAGGTTTACGGAGATGTTCAGGGACGAGTACGTTCCCCCGGTAGAGAGGGAGCGATTGATTCAGGAGTTCTTGACCCTTAAGCAGGGTACTGATTCCGTGGCAGTGATCACACGGAAGTTTCATGAGAGGGCAATGTTCTGCCCCGAGCTGGTATCTACGGAGCAGTCGCGGATGAGCCGCTATTTGGGTGTTTTGAAGAGGGAGATCCGGGAGTTTGTGTCAAACTCCACCTATCGTACTTTCACTGAGCTTCAGGCGAACGCCAGGAAGCGCGAGATTGAGTTGGAGACTCAAGCGAGGGAGGAGGCTGAGTCTCGGCAGGTGGATCGACGGCCGGCCCAGTCTCAGCCGGCAGCCAAGCGGACTAAGTTCGCTGATTCGAGGATGGGAGGTTCGAAGGGTCGCACTTGCGCGAAGTGCGGCAAGAGTCACGAGGGGGCGTGTCGAGCTGGTGGTTGCTACAAGTGTGGCAAGGAGGGACATATTGCCAGGGATTGCCCTAAGGGGTTTATGGTTTGCTTTCACTGCAACCAGACAGGCCATCGGAAGGCCGAGTGCCCGCAACTTCGTCAGGGAGCTACACCTACTACCCGGACTACTGAGACCCGACCGGCGAAGGTCGAGGCCCCGAGGGCTCGCGGGAGAGCCTTTCAGCTGACTGCGGAGGAGGTCCGCGCTGCGCCCGATGTTGTGGCAGGTATGTTATCATTCACGTATTTAATTAAAGGTCGAAATGTTATGCTTATGTTAATGTATGTGTAGGTACTTTCCTTGTGAACTCTATGCCTGCTCTAGTGTTATTTGATTCGGGTGCGAGTAGATCGTTTGTATCGTTAGCTTTTAGTCAGCACATCGGCATTAGTCGTGAGCCGTTAAGTCGGCCTTTGAGCGTTTCTATTGCGGCTGAGAGGGTGATTTGTGCTACGGAGGTTCTTCGGGGATGTGTGCTAGAGATCTTCGGGGTCGCGTTTCCGATTGACCTCATTCCTATTGCGATGGGGATGTCTGTGTCATCGTAGGCATGGACTGGTTGAGCCGATTCAGCGCTGTCATCGACTGCGAGCGTCAGCTGGTGACTATACGAGACCCTAGTGGGGGAGTTCTTACGGTATACGGCGAGGGTACCCGTTCGGGATCAGCTTTTTGTTCGGCCGCTAGGGCGAGGCAATGCCTACAGCGGGGATGTAACGGTTTTGTGGCGTATGTGATGGATACGCGGGAGAGTTCCGAGAGACCGAAGACATTGAAGGAGGTTCCAGTGGTGCGCGAGTTTCCAGATGTTTTTCCCGAGGATTTGCCAGGAATACCTCCTGCGAGGCAAGTGGAGTTTGGTATCGATCTAGTTCCAGGGGCTGCGCCTATTGCGAAGGTGCCTTATCGTCTTGCACCTCCAGAGATGCAAGAATTGTCCTCGCAACTTCAAGAGTTGTTGGGGAAGGGATTTATTCGGCCGAGTAGCTCGCCGTGGGGAGCAC